GCCAGTAAAAACCGAGAATGATCTAATTATTGCAGATTTAAATTCAAAATATTTTGTTTACAATTTTGAAATTGATTCCTATCACTTAATGACAGAAATGGAAAACTAATAATGTTATATGTGAAGGTAACTGGCCTTGGAGTAGCGTAAGTGACAATACGTGCAAGATAACTCAGGAAAGTTCTTACTGGGTTGAGTTACAAAAGAAAGGTAGTTGGATATTCAAGGTTTCAGAACCAACAAAGGCTAGGATACAATGTAATAATTTTCCACAAGAGTTAATTGATCTGCCGGAGCAAAGATTCCAACTATAGTATCTGGCTGCACTATAAGAACTGATGACAAAATATTAATAGCTCATTATAGAATTAAGTCAGAAAATTATGAGTCCGTAGCAATTTCTTATGTAAATAACATAAGTAAGATTCCAAGTATTGTTTGGAATCCGTTAATATTACCGGCCATCAATTATAATGAGGAAATAAACAAATTAAAGGACGAATTAAAAGAATTAAAAGCGAATCATTACGAAATAATGGACTGAATTTTCATCATATTTCAAGCCCGCTGTCTTAATCATAAAACTAATAATTATGGCAGTTTTAATCCTATATATAATAAGAAGAATTAAAGTATCAAGGCGCATGCAAGCCATAGTTCTTCCTGGCCCTTGGCAGAATGTTCAAACATGAACACGTCTAAATATAAGTATGAACATATAAGCTGAACGGAGCAGCCACTTGACCTCCTGTGAGCGGTCCCAGAATGTTTAATTACCAGTGCTATCAGGGTAGTTGTGATCTGCCTTATCGCTCTTTAGTTTTCACAGTTTAGGGATAAACAAGTCACTCCATGGGTTATTAGAAATAAGATAATGACTTCAAATATAAGATTTTATGAGTTCTGTGCATGTCACTTGTCAATGGAGCCAGAGCCATAAATTACGATCTGTTACTTAAAATCCAAGGGAACATTTGTTTGCACTTGTAATCTGTACGTGCAGGCCACTTGAGCCTCTAAATATTATCACTTGAAATGTATCCCACACTACACAAAGGACTTGGGCGGTGGTCAAAATATAGCTCTCCCGCTCAGGGCAAAAAAGATGCGGTCTCTGCGTAGGCCATAGATAAGAATAGAATACGAAACACACCAATGTTACTTGCTAAGAAACGTATTGCAATAAAAACAGTTTGAAATGATAACTCAAGAAATGTAGACGTCTTTCATTAGATAGCTCTTACAAACCCCTTCAAGAAAACAGATTTAATGAGACAGGTTGACTATAAACACTTCGAAGAAACAAATAGAGAAATAGAGAATAGAAATTTAAAAATCAAAAGAAGACTAATAAGAGCAAATATGATAATTCCAGACAAGCCGAGGAAGACGAAACATAACCAAGTCATCCCTATATTATCCCTGACAAGGAACATAGTATCGAAATAAGTCCGATAAACCCAAAAAACGGATATCTGATATTCAAAACCCGATCAATGGAAATCGCAACGAATTTTGAATACCACCATTTAAGTATAAATTTAACAAAGACCGAAACGACATACGATAACCTACTGGACGAAGCCAAAGAATTCCAACACATTGTCCAAATCCAATATTTAGTTGAAAAATAAAAAAGGGAAATGAATGTGTTAAGAATAGTCAAACGAAGCAAACGTGGGCTTTTAAACGTGGTGTTCAGTCTATAAATATTCGTTTGGCACATTAGATCAAGAGGATAAAGAAGAGCTCGAAATAAAAATTAATAATCTATCAGATAATTCCATCCAAAATCATTATTTAAATATGATTATTGTCGTTGTTCATAACGGACTTGACATAATAAATAAACTTGAAGAATCTAAAAATAAGAAAGAACAAGCTGCAGTTCTGATTTTTAATCTCCAGCAATTCACAGAATACATAGAGGACATAGATTAAGGAATGCAATTAACTAGGTCAGGTATATTTAACCCAAAATTATTAAAACATGATTATTTAAAACAAGTTAGTTCTGAAAAGTTGTTAAAACAAAAACATCAACTTGGCTTAAAACAGACACGAACGAAATCTTGATAATTTCCCAAATTCCTAATGAAATAACGAAAACTCCTGTATATAAATTTTTTGAAACTATGTAGTGTAAATCAAAGTAACAAATGTAAGTGATATGATCAGTTTATGCCCAATATCATAAAGAGATGAGAATCATATGTAAAAGCTTAAAAGTAACGGCTTATCTCTCTTCCCTCATTTATAACCTAAAGAAGTGTAGATAAACGCGACTCTACCCCATTTTTTAAGTCAGTCAGCTTCAAGCCGCAGATCACGGGAGTTATGTATCAACCGTCAAAATATACTTAGATAATAAAAGAGCATTTATTCTTTAACCTACAAGTACACGTGTTTCTTTCATTCGCTGCTTCAGGTTATGGGCCCAGACCATATACCCGCGTAATAAAATAACACTTCACCTGTAGGCCTGTAGATTTCGTCGCGAAAAATGACCGGCGCGTTTATAAAAATTTAGCCGCTTTGTGCGGATAACTATGACACGTGGAAAGTTCAAATGCGGGCAATGCCGTGAAAAACGACCTGTGACAATATGTGGACGGTACGAAGGAGTGCCCTAGTGGAAGTGGAAGCACATCGGCTGCTGACTCCGCCGTATGGAAAACGTACGACGAAAAAGCGCGTGCAGATATTTTACTATCGGTCAGCCCCTCAGAACTGGCTTTGATCGAGGGATGTAATACAGCCAAACGGTGTTGGATGAAACTGCAGGAAATTTTTATGACGAGAGGACCAGTGCGAAAAGCAGCTCTTCTAAAGAAGCTAATATTATCGCGCCTGTGTGAGGGCGGCAATATACGAGAGCACATAAACGAAACATTTGAAGCCGTAAAGGAATTAAGGGAAATCGGCGTAGCAATCGGAGACGACTTATTGGCCATTTTTTTACTCTACAGTCTGCCAGACACCTTCGAAACGTTTAGATGCGCGATGGAAGCAAGGGATGACTTACCACGCCCAGAACTCTTAAGAGTAAAAATATAAGAGGAGGTCGAAGCCAGAAAAAATAAGCACGTGCCAGATGAACATAACGCAATGTTCGCGAAATGTCGTAAGGACAGGAGTGGAAAGCAAACTAGAAACAAAGAGACTAGAAAATGCTTTAACTGTAACGGAGTCGGGCACATATCCAAAAACTGCTGGAATAAAACGAATGGAAAGGGCGAAGAGCCCGATTATAGAGAGAAAGCAAAGAGAGCAGAGGAATCGACTTTCGCATGCCAGGCAAATTTCTGCGCGAATAAAGCTGGCGCTTGGTGCTTAGACAGCGGCTGTACAGCGCACATGAGTTCAGACACGAAACTATTTGCAAATATAAAAGAAATAAAGAAAACTTACATTTGGCGAACGACGAGACAACAACTATAAGTGGTGTGGGTGAAATAAAAATCGCAGACGACGACAAAGGAGAGAAGAAGAATAATACTCTCACAGACGTGCATTACCGATCTCAGGCAAAGCTTGCTGTCAATATCAAAGATTACGGATAAGGGATATGAGGTACACTTCAGGAAAGACGAGGCTCTAATCGTGAAAGGTAAGAACGAAATTTGGTTACGCGCATAAAGGCGCGGAAATCTATATTATTTGGACAGCGTAGAGCATCAATCAAATAACATCGAGAAAATCCACTTGAGCAACATCAACGGATAGCATTATCGAATGGGACTCTTGAACGAACGAGATCTAAAGAACATGGCAAATGAAGGTAAAGGCACGGAATGAATATAAAAGAAAACGAAAAAATTTCGGAGTGCGAAATCTGTGTGAGCGAAAAACAAGTGGCGAATTCGTACAAAACTTCCCCTTGAAGCAGAACAACTGAACTACTGGAAATCGTACACAGCGATGTGTGCGGGTCCATGCGAAAAGAATCCATGGGCGGATGCAAGTATTACGTAACATTTATTGACGATTACTCTAGATATTGCGAAGTTTTGAAAGTATTGAAAGCTTTCGTCGATTATACGGCCGCCGCTGAAAATTTGAATGGAAAGAAATTAAAGATGCTACAATCTGACAACGGTACGGAATACTGTAACAGGGAATTTGACGCCTACCTAGCATAGAACGGGATTAAACGAAGACAAAGTGCACCATATACCCCCCCCAACAAAACGGGCAAGCAGAAAGGCAGAACAGGACGCTAGTCGAGATGGCCAGATGCATGATGAGGCAAGCAGGAGCACCTGCAACTTTTTACGCTGAAGCCGTGAACGCAGCGTGCTACATACGCAACCGATGTCCAGCAGCAGGCTTGTCAGGCGATATTCCCTATACGTACTGGATGAAGGAAATTGCGACAGTGGCACACCTGAGAGCATTTGCGCTCGAAAAAGGCATCAACAAGGGAAAATTTGATCGGTTGAATGCATTTTGGTAGGATATACAGCTACTTCAAAGGCATATCGACTTTATGTCCCGGAAAGGCGAAAAGTAAAAATTTCTAATGAATTTCTAATGAAATTCAGTACCCATTATGAGGAATTTTATACGGAGCCCAACTCAGAAGAGATTAGCATTGAGATGACGAGCACGAAAATTAAGCAAGATGATCTTGAAGCGGATCCGTCGGTGGATTCTCCACAAGAACCCACTATTTCGGCGCAACGTCGTAGCAGAGGGCGCTTGAAAACACTTCGAAGCGGATCCCGTGGCAGGCCACGAAAAATTTATGAACAACCGAATGTAGAACACAGCAATAAAGACGACGCGGAGACCGAGGAACTACAAAGCGATGAGCCTTACGAAAAGTGTGAAATAGCCAACGTACTATTTGACGATCCTGTAAATATCGCCGAAGCGAAAAGCTCTGACGATGCCGATAACTGGATAAAGGCGATCGAAGACGAATTTATGCGCATCTGAAAAATAAGACATGGGACATCGTAGAGAAACCAGATGACCGAAAGACGATTGGCAACAGAATGGTTTTTCGCACAAAGGACACTGGACGCGATGAGTTCAAGAAAAAGGTGCGTTTGGTGGCTAAAGGTTACGCACAGAGACCAGGTTAGGATTTCAATGAGACATACTCACCCGTAGTTCGATTCAGTACGATCCGACTCTTCATGGCATTATCCGTGGAAGCGTGTATGGAAGTTGTGACAGCTTACTTAAATGTAGAGCTCGAGGAGAAAATCTTTATGGAAATTCCGGAGGGATTTCGCGATTTCGTCACCAGAATGGCAACTGGCGCGCCTATTGGATCACACGGAAGACCTCTAGATCGAAATTCCACCGAAACAGCGAAAAACTGGATGCACAGCATGATCAGATGTCAGAAGCTTGTATGTGTGCTTCGAAAGGCGTTATATGGACTACGACAGTCTGGACTAAGATGGTATCAAAAGCTAACTGCGAAATTGGTAGACAGTGAACTGATAGCGACCAAAGAAGATCCATGCTTATTCGTGAAACGGCGAGGAGAGAAGATTTTACTGGTAACCATTTACGTCGACGACCTTCTTCTTGCCTCGAACCATACCGCATGGATAGACGAAACCAAATCAAATCTTACGGAAGCGTTCGAAATGAAGGATAAAGGCACTGTTATTACCTGCCTAGGTATGGAGTTCCTACAAAACGTGAAGGCGAACTGGATATATATCTCGCAGGTACAGTATATTAACAAAATCTTAATCAGATTCGAGATGTCGGAATGCAAAGCAGCGTTGACCCCCATTGAAGCGAAGAGCAACCTCAAACGCCACGACGTAGCTGATGAAGCGGAAATGAAGAAATATCCTTATCAAAACTTAATCGGTGCTTTAATGTTTTTTTCAGTTTCCACCCGCCCTGACATTACGTTTGCTGTCAATTTTCTGAACCAGTTCAACGCGAATTACAATGCGGAACACTGGAAAGCAGCGAAACGCGTCTTATGGTATCTGTCTGGGACAAAAGGACTGGGGCTATTAGATCTTCCGAGCAAGGAAAATCTGTACGGTGTGGCCGACGCCGACTGGGGAGCAAACCTTAGCGACAGACGCTCCTACTCTGGACAAGCGTTTGTGTTATCTGGCGCAGCTATGAGTTGGGAAGCCCGAAAACAGCGAACTGTGGCACTTTCGAGCACGGAATCAGAGTATCTGGCTATGTCCGAAGCAGTCAAAGAGTCCATATACTTAAGGAGTCTCTTAACCAGCATTGGGGGAGGTTGCGACTCGATCCAGGATTTGGTTACAGCCCGCGCACCAAACACATGGACATGCGCCACCACTACATCCAAGAGAAGCAGCGAAATCGAGTACTTGTCGACCGAACTTATGCGAGCAGATGTAGACTAAGGGTCTTAGCCACAATAAGCACAAAACTTGCTTAAGATCTTTAGGCGTCACTGAAATTTAAAATTAACTTGTAACTTTGAGAGGGCGTGTTGAAACTATGTTATGTAAATCAAAGTAACAAATGTAAATGATATGATCAGTTCTGCATGCCCAATATCATAAAGAGATGAGAATTATATGTAAAAGCTTAAAAGTAACGGATTATCTCTCTTTCCTCATATATAACCTAAAGAAGTGTAAATAAGCGCGACTCTACCCCTTTTTATAAGTCAGTCAGCTTCAAGCCGCAGATCACGCAAGTTATGTATCAACCGTCAAAATATAAGAGCATTTATTCTTTAACCTACAAGTACACGTGTTTCTTTCATTCGCTGCTTCAGAAATAATTCCATATCCAGATGAATTTGATAACATCTTAACAGAAAACACATTTGATAAATATTACATTTATGAAAATAAAGTATTCAGTAAAAACACAGGTCAAATAATTTTTCACAACTGCATAATTGGAGTCCTAAAACAAGAACCGACAAAATGCAAATATGTAAAAACCCATAGAAATTTCCAAATAAATTATATCGAACCAAATATTTTGATAACTGGAATATACAAAAATCAATTATAAATCAAAATTGTATAAGCACAGAAGTTTCGATCGTTGGTAATAATATTGTTAAAATAACAAATTGTACTATACAGTTAGATGAGTTTATAACATCCAAAAATATAGCAAATTATTCACAATCAATTTATGTTAACAACAATATCACAAAACTCGAACCATTGTCATATATCCAAACTAAAGAAATAGTCGAATCACATATAAAATATATCAATACATTTCAGATAATATGTTTAACCACATTTGTAATCACTATAATAAGTTTAACATTATATTCAATTTACAAATTTAAAAATATCCCTAAGAAACTTATTGTAAAATATTCTAAACGTGAATAATAATTAATTGTAACAAATAAGAATGTAAAAACTACTGAGGAAAATATTGCAGCAGATAATATTATGTTATACCCTACGTTATCGCCCTGAGGACAGGCCAAATTCAAAGGTTGGGGGAGTGACATGCCCATATTCCTATAAGGCTCTGCATATATTTAGGCAACACATACACAGTCCCATAAGACTCTGAATAAACCCATTAAGCACTTGTATCCAAGAGTCCAGACTCTTAAATCCAAAAGTAATTAAAGTTTCCCTCAAAAGAAACCGAAAGTTTTCTCGGAACATTTTCACAACTCACTCAAATCCCGAAAAGCTTGTGACCGAGGCTAACAAGTAACAAGTAACAAGTAAAACCTTGTAACCATTAATTGAATAAAATAAAATTATATTTTTTTATTTAATCGGAGTTGCAAACTTATAATTATATATATATATATATATATACATATAATACAAACAAAAAGAACAAGAAAGATTTATAATATAAAATCTAATATAAAAAAAGTATATATTATAATAAAAAATCTTCATATATTACGTTATTTTTTAAAAGGAGTGAGATTTAGTGTGCATGCATACAGAGTACACACTGTACCATCGGAAACAATGTTATCTGCAGGATCAGCACTCTCAGCACACACACACGCCATCAGCGAGTGATCGGTCGCGCCAGCTTATTCCCACAGTTAGCGACTGCAACAATTAAGTCCACGTATGCATATAACTTTTTTCTCTCTCTCTCTATCTCTCTCTTTCTCTCTCTCTCTCTCTTTGTGAGCGCCGCTCTCGCCGCTGCCGACTGCGCAGCAGACAGAACTAAGTTAAGCTGAGGACAGAGGCCGAGGCACTCGACAAATGACATCGAAACGATAAACAGAATAAAGAACTACTCTCAATAGAATATAAAAAAGTGCATTATATCATATTTCTGGTATGAACAGCACTGCGATGCATAATTTTCTTTAATTGCACTGCGATGCATATTTTTTTTAATCATATAATACAATTTTTGTAAAACATAGCTGAACCCTTTCTGACCAGTTAGAAATATAGCGCGTAAAGTCATATGAAAAATTAGGTAGAACATGTAAAAACAAATTACAAAACTACAAATTCCTAAAATTTTTAAACAAATTTAATAAAAAATTAAAACAAAAATTAGATTAAAAAAGAATAAAACAAGAAAGGAAGCAAACTTAGGCAATCCGAAGTTCATATACCCTTGCAGCTATTGCCAAACTTAAATATTCTTGAAAACATTAAAATTATGGTTTAAAACATTGAAGAAATTATGATTTGAAGCTCAACTATTTCAAAGTTCCGATTTCCGATTTTAATAAAATTAAAAGAATAATTCTGAATTGTCAAATTACAACATAAAAAAGTTAAATTTTTTTAATTTTTTTTTAAGTATTTGTATTGTTTCCATGGGATCTCTTTGTTATAGTCGTCCGATTTTTATGAAATTTAAACCGTATTTCTGAAATATTTAACCATTACTATATTTCGAAGAACTAAAAAAAAAATAAAAACAGCAAAGCTATAATTTTTTTTCATTTATTTTTACGATTGTTCCTATGGTAGTTATATGCTAGTGTTGTCCGATTTTAATGATATTTAAGACGTAATCCTGAAATATTTAACCATTATAAATAGCAAAGTTATAATTTTTTTTATGTGTTTCTCCGATTGTTCCTATTGGAGCTATATGATATAGTCGTCCTATTTAGATGAAATTTAAACCGTAATTCGGAATAATTGTTAAATTAAACCATTACTACATGTCGAAGAACTAAACAAAAAATTAAAAACAGCAAAGTTACAATTAAACCATTACTACATGTCGAAGAACTAAACAAAAAATTAAAAACAGCAAAGTTACAATTTTTTTCATTTATTTTTCCGATTGTTCCGTCTGTTCGTCCGTCCGTCTGTCCGTCCGTTCGTTTCTACGCAAACTAGTCCTTCAGTTTGAAAGCTATCTGCATGAAACTTTCCCAAAAGTTGACGGACGACTATAGCATATAGCTCCCATACGAACAATCGTAAATATGATTATTGATGTAATAAATAATGGCATTGAAGTTATTAATAAGTTAAAAGAAGATGATGAAAGGGAGAAACAAGCTAGTGTTTTAATATTTAACTTACAACATTTTATGGAATACATAGAGGATATTGAGTTGGAAATGCAGTTGACGAGACTTGGTATATTTAATCCAAAATTATTAAAACATGATGATTTAACAAGAATAAGTTCTGAGAAATTGTTGAAAATTAAAATTTCCACTTGGCTAAAAACAGACACAAATGAAATTTTGATAATTTCCAACATTCCTACAGAAATCATAAAAGCACCAATTTTTGAAACATTTCCGTATCGAGATGATAATAATACCATTCTAACAGAAAATATATTTAATAAGTATTACCTTCATGAAGAAAAAGTATTTAATAAAGAAACAGGAAAAGTAGTATTCGATGAATGTATAAATGGAATAATCAAACAAGAATCCACAAGCAGTAAATATACCAAAACTCATAAAAATTTCCAAATTAATTATGTTGAACCAAATATTTTATTGACATGGAATATCCCTAAAACATGTTTAAATCAAAATTGCATTAATAAAGAAATTTCTATATTTGGTAATAATTTTATTAAAATTCTTAATTGTTCATAGCCTCTACTTGGTAGTCATCGGCCTCGTATCCTTCTTTCGATTCATTTATGATCTCGTTAACGTGCCGCGGGCGCGACCTCTTGTCCTTCAACCATTTTTCGACACGTATTCCTTCCCTCTTAAACTCGGCTAATGTAGATATGCTTGACGCCAACAAAAAGGATCCCATTTGAGAATTTAGGTTCTCTTTCAATATCTCCACAAGGTTGGATTCTGGAATCTTATTTCTTAGTTTAAACTGCAAATTGTGCATCGCAGAAATATAATCCTCCAAACTCTCGTTATATCCCTGTCGTCGTTCCATTAATTCTTTTATAGTGACATTGTCGTTCTCAGATGTGGAAAATGTTCTGGTCATTGCTCGGGTTAACCAGTGGTACCCAAAATAATGGTCGTCCGCTTTGTCTTTGAGCGTTTGCCAATACCATTCGCTGGCGGATCCAGTGAGTAAACAGCGAAATTCTCGGAATACCTGTTCATCTGTATACCCATACATTGCTTTCATGCGATCTACTCGGAAGAGAAAACTTTCTATTGACATCCCATCAAATTTAAGATTCCACGTGTCCAATCTAACGTTCCGGTTCTCTGCTGGTCGGTGCTCAGCGCCCGATATTTCCCATGCACTGTTGTGTTTCGTCTGCCAGAGTCATTCTGATTACGTTGGTCCAGTGTATTAAGTTCTGGCGGCGGTGCTGACCCCGAAACTCCTGTTTCGGTGTTAAGTTGACGCTCACAGCGGCTCGAATGTGCCGGCCGAAAAGTGCTGTTTTGTGCAGGCATGTCTCCGGCTGTTTGTGAATTACCTGATTGTGATTCACTCATTTCTGCCACTTTTGTTTGTAGATTAATTATCTGGGTATTTAATTCAGTAATCTGGGTTGCGACAGTAACCCTTAACTCGTTGCCTTGCATGATCAGCGCAGACATCATTCGCTCCAGCCTGGTTTCTGACTCCGACTGCCGCGACCGTGCTCCTCTGTATTAGGTATCACGCTGGACCTTCCTTGTGGTAGTCCTAAGCAACAGTTTTCACCCCCTACAGCTCCTGACGACTCCTCCATGGTGGAACTGTGGTATTCTGCCAGGCTTCCTAAATTATCTAGCTTGCTGCCAAAGCGTACCGACTGTTCCTGTGCCTGTTGATCGCTAGTTGTCACGGTTGGTCTTGCTCTCCAGGCCTGTCTTGCGGCTAAGGTAGAAGCCCTTGCAGTCCTAGTAGGCGGTATTGTCAAAGTTACCTTCTTCCTCTTTTCTGCCTTTTACTGACCTATCTTCTTATTTCAAGGTTTTTGCTCGGGCCGAAGTAATTAAAAAATAAATGAACAATAATCAACCTTGATAGTAGCACAC